GCATTCCAGCCCAAACAGCTCAGTGATCAGTTATTATAAGGCGAATGCATAATTTGATGAATATATATATATATATATATATATATATATATATATATATATATATATATATATATATATATATATATATATATATATATATATATATATATATATATATATATATATATATATATATATATATATATATATATTAGAAGCATCAAGAAATATGGACCAATAGGCTTTCTACAAACACTTCTATTCAATACCCATTGTTTCGTGTTCTGTCTTGTGTTGATGAAATTAATACCCTATTAATACCACCTCTTGTTCTGTCTTGTGTTGATGAAATTAATACCCTTTTAATGCCACTTCTTGTTCTGTCTTGTGTTAATGCCACATCACCCCTTCCACCTCACTCAAATGTAGATATATATATATATATATATATATATATATATATATATATATATATATATATATATATATATATATATATATATATATATATATATATATATATATATAAGATATACATGGGTTGATACAAAAATAATAATGCAAAAAGGTGCTTAAAGGTTATGGATCTCTTGAAAAACACAACACTGGGAAACATTGATGAATGTCACAGACGGGTTCGATCATTGTTGCAAGTCAAACACTTCTTCGAATTCCTCTGAAGTTGGACTAGTGCCCAAGACGCAACAGGCATTTCCCCTCTGAATCGCAACACTGAGGCGCTGGAACAAGAAACTTTTTGCTCTCTGGTCTTTTGTAGCGCTGATCAATTTGTCCCCCAATTCCTTCAGGAACTTCAATGCACATTTTCCCCACGAACCGAGGGTCTCCGAGCCGATCGGAACAAAGCTGTAGCAGTGTGCTAGACCTCTATATTTAATAATTTTCTGCGATTCCCTGAAAGAAGCAGCACCACCGCTTTCACGTGTGCTGTAGTGGAGGTAGGTACTGGCCAGTGTGGCAGCGCACGTGTAGTCCCATACCACTTGCTTACCATCCTTCCAAGGTAGCAAGGTGACCCCATCAGGGCGCTTCTGAGGGTCGTTAGGTCTGGATAAGTGTGGTTCTCTTTGTGCCGGGCAGCGGGCTGTGGCGAGGCTCCTCTTGATGATGTCGTTGACTTCTTCATGTCTTGCAATTTTACCCTGTGATTTACGACATACCAGACCATGACGACCATATTGGTCTGCCATCGCAGTTCCGCAGATGCACCTATGTTCGGTGAGGATGGGGGCGGCAAGGCGAAGGGCAACTCCAATGCGGAGAACGTCATGACTGAGGCGAGTTCCCAGGGCTGCATTGGGCACAGCAAATAAGAAATCCCCGGCGTGGGGTGCTGTTACCGCTAGGAGGCGGGCTTTGTTTTCAGCATCAGCGTTGTCAATCATTGCTGTGACAGTCTTTTCCATTATGGGGCTATCCCAGTGGGCCTGCTTGTGGTCTTTTGGGACTTGTGGTCGGGGTTGAGGGTGTGCAATGGTGTCCCATTGTCTGGCTGCTTCGATGAACGTTTGATCATGAGTTCCCGCTGTCTCTCTCATACGCTCTGGTAGGATCTGCCCTACCAATTCGTTGGCTGCTGTACATGAGGATAAGAATGCTGGATGTGCTACCTCAGTTGCCTTTCGTATGCCTATCCCTCCAAATCTCACTGGCAGTGTTGCTTGGTCCCACTGACTGTCATCTAAATCTAGGTTGAGCGCCTTCCTGAATATTGACATGAGGAGCTCATCATATTGATTTAGAAGTGGGTTGCCAAAAGTTGGTGCACACCTTAAGAAGTATGTTAGCCTGGGCAAGATAAGGCACTTTGTGAGAAGGTAGAGGGCATCGTGGGAGTCCAAGTCCCCAATTCTCTCTTCCATCCTCTTTAGGTCTCTAAACTTTTCGTCAAGGACCGCAGCAATAGCATTGTGGCCCAGAGGTGCTCCGAGTAGTGTGCTGTCGGTAGGTTTAACGACTGAGGCTTCTGGTAGAACTGATTTCACTGCTCTAATGATTACTTCACTGGATGCAATAATTTCGCACTTGGAGGGGTTAAGAACGAGACCCATGGACTCCCCCCGTATCTTCACCAGCTGTAGGTCTTCTAGCAGGGAATCTTGTGTGCCTGCCAGAGTGCCATCATCCAGGAACCAGATGTTGAGCTCGCTGGACAGTCTGGTTGTAATTTCTCGAACCGCTATGCAAAAGAGGAACGGTGCAAGTGGGTCACCCTGTTGAATTCCCTCGGCTGAGGTGACTTCATGTTTGCCAAACAGGAGGGTTGAGTCTTTGCTGTAGCCTGCTGACACAAACGGGAGAATGCTTGGGCAATGTTCCTGGACTGCAGTGAGTATTGCTTCCCTTTTGACCGCGTTGAAAGCGTTTTTAAAATCTAATTTTACTACTGCCTGGTCTTCAGTAAGAGAGCTAATGTAGGCTCGTGCAGCATGAGCCGCTGCTTCACAGCCTTGGGGGACTCCGAACCCCAGCTGGTTGGGTTGCAGCATGGTGGCTGCTTCCATTCGGATACTTCTGACAGCAGCCCTTGCAACTAGGCGGCGAAGGGTATTACCAACGGCAATGGGTCTGATCCCTCCCCCCTTCTTTTTCAGGGCACATAGGGATGCACCAAAGAAGAATGGTTTGATTTCATCAGGGATTAACCCGGCGAGGCAGTTGTTGACAAACGTTGTGATTTCTGTCAGGAGCGCTTCTGCAGCTGGGCCAAGAACAGGGTTCACCATTTCCTTCACATGTTGAGGTCTTACCCCTGTGTAGCCTCCTGAGGAGCCCGGGGGAAATGAAACGATAGCTTTATAAACCTCTGACTCCCGGAGGACGAGAGGTTCCTGGTTAGGGGCGAGCCTGACCTGTGGGGGAGGTTCACCTACGGCCCTGAGGGGGTGTTTTTCTCTCAGTGCTTGGGCTGTGGTCTCATCCCTGGGCAAAATTTTGTCCTCACTTGTGATCAACCTGAGAGCCCCGACTGTATTGCCCTCTTCAATTTTCTTGCTGACTTGGGTACCTAATTTTCTGTTGTCGCTGATTGTCGTACTTGGTCTGCCTCGGCGGTGTTTGGTGTGTTTGGGGAGGCGGACTAGGTTGTCAGCCCTAGGAAAATCCCTAATATATATATATATATATATATATATATATATATATATATATATATATATATATATATATATATATATATATATATATATATATATATATATATTTTTTTTTTTTTTTTTTTTTTTTTTAAACCTAGAAGGGGTACCACCTCTGGTGCAAATGTAGGGACCCATAGCCTCGGAGAAGAAAATAAAGAGTACTCAGAGAAGACCTTGTGGATCCTCACTGAACACTGATATTTTCTTCTCCTACCACCCCTATTCTTTTGTTAAGTGTGTATATTTATCTAACTTTATTTGAAAATGTCAATACACAAAAAAGTTACAATATTGATTACATACAGGGTACAAGGCTGCTTGTCACAAGTTGAACAGCTCCTCCAGCTCCTCAGATGGCGGGCAGGAACCATGGATGCAGTGAGCATTTCCTCTCTGGATTGCCACACTAAGGCGCTGAAAAAGAAAACTGGCAGCTCTGGGGTCTCTAGTTGTTTCGATTAGCTTAGACCCCAACTCCTTTAAAAAGCTAGCAGCACTTTTACCCCAGGCACCAAGTGTCTCTGAGGCAATGGGGACAAAATTGTAGTGGTGCTCAAGGTCTCTGTATTTACGTGACTTGGCCGCTTCCCGGTGATTGGCAGCTCCTCCTGCTTGTGTAGCACTGAAGTCAACATAGGTACTGGCCAAAGTTGAAACGCAAGTGTAGTCCCACACCAACTGTCTACCATTCTTCCAGGGGTTCACCGTAATTCCGTCTGGGCGACCGACAGGCTCATCAGAGTTGCGGGACATTAGGTAACGGGGCTCTCTCTCTGCTGGACAACCGGCTGTGGTAAGGCTCCTCTTAATAATGTCATTAACCTCGCCGTGTCTTGCATGCCATCCTCCCGTCCTTTGGCAAAGAAGGCCATGCCGTCCGTATCTGTCGGCCTCTGCCTCGCCGCAAATACACCTGTATTTGCAGGACCATCTGCAAATAGAGATGGTATATATAATAGTATATATATATATATATATATATATATATATATATATATATATATATATATATATATATATATATATATATATATATATATATATATATATATATATATATATATATATATATATATATACTATATATAAACTCAAGACGAGTATCAGGCTGTTTTTTCGCTACTTCCACTGCTTACATGATGTATTGTGTTGCTCACATGATGTATTGTGCCTCCACTGCTTACATCATGTATTGTGCCTTCACTGCTCACATAATGTATTGTGCCTCCACTGCTCACATGAAGTATTGTACCTCCACTGCTCACATGAAGTATTGTGCCTCCACTGCTCATATGATGTATTGTGCCTCCACTGCTCACATGGCGTATTGTGCCTCCACTGCTCAATACATCACATGATGTATTGTGCCTCCACTGCTCACATGACGTATTGTGCTTCCACTGCTCACATGATGTCTTGTGCCTCCACTGCTCACATGAAGTATTGTGCCTCCACTGCTCACATGACGTATTGTGCCTCCATTGCTCACATGATGTATTGTGCCTCCACTGCTCAATACATCACATGATGTATTGTGCCTCCACTGCTCATATGAAGTATTGTGCCTCCACTGCTCACATGATGTATTGTGCCTCCACTGCTCACATGGCGTATTGTGCCTCCACTGCTCAATACATCACATGATGTATTGTGCCTCCACTGCTCACATGATGTCTTGTGCCTCCACTGCTCAATACATCACATGATGTATTGTGCCTCCACTGCTCACATGAGGTATTGTGCCTCCACTGCTCACATGAGGTATTGTGCCTCCACTGCTCATATGATGTATTGTGCCTCCACTGCTCACATGATGTATTGTGCCTCCACTGCTCACATGGCGTATTGAGCCTCCACTGCTCAATACATCACATGATGTATTGTGCCTCCACTGCTCATATGATGTATTGTGCCTCCACTGCTCACATGAGGTATTGTGCCTCCACTGCTCATATGATGCATTGTGCCTCCACTGCTCATATGATGTATTGTGCCTCCACTGCTCATATGATGTATTGTGCCTCCACTGCTCATATGATGTATTGTGCCTCCACTGCTCACATGAGGTATTGTGCCTCCACTGCTCATATGATGCATTGTGCCTCCACTGCTCATATGATGTATTGTGCCTCCACTGCTCATATGAGGTATTGTGCCTCCACTGCTCATATGATGTATTGTGCCTCCACTGCTCATATGATGTATTGTGCCTCCACTGCTCATATGATGTATTGTGCCTCCACTGCTCATATGATGTATTGTGCCTTCACTGCTCATATGATGCATTGTGCCTCCACTGCTCATATGATGTATTGTGCCTCCACTGCTCATATGATGTATTGTGCCTCCACTGCTCATATGATGTATTGTGCCTCCACTGCTCATATGATGTATTGTGCCTCCACTGCTCACATGAGGTATTGTGCCTCCACTGCTCATATGATGTATTGTGCCTCCACTGCTCACATAATGTATTGTGCCTCCACTGCTCACATGACTTATTGTGCCTCCACTGCTCACATGAGGTATTGTGCCTCCACTGCTCATATGATGTATTGTGCCTCCACTGCTCACATGATGTCTTGTGCCTCCACTGCTCAAATAACTTATTGTGCCTCCACTGCTCACATGATGCCTTGTGCCTCCACTGCTCACATGATGTATTGTGCCTCCACTGCTCACATGATGTCTTGTGCCTCCACTGCTCACATGATGTATTGTGCCTCCACTGCTCACATGATGTATTGTGCCTCCACTGCTCAATACATCACATGATGTATTGTGCCTCCACTGCTCACATGATGTCTTGTGCCTCCACTGCTCAATACATCACATGATGTATTGTGCCTCCACTGCTCACATGATGTATTGTGCCTCCACTGCTCACATGAGGTATTGTTCCTCCACTGCTCACATGATGTATTGTGCCTCCACTGCTCACATGATGTATTGTGCCTCCACTGCTCACATGATGCCTTGTGCCTCCACTGCTCACATGATGCCTTGTGCCTCCACTGCTCACATGATGTATTGTGCCTCCACTGCTCACATGATGTATTGTGCCTCCACTGCTCATATGATGTCTTGTGCCTCCACTGCTCACATGAAGTATTGTGCCTCCACTGCTCATATGATGTTGTGCCTCCACTGCTCACATGACTTATTGTGCCTCCACTGCTCACATGACTTATTGTGCCTCCACTGCTCACATAACTTATTGTGCCTCCACTGCTCACATGATGCCTTGTGCCTCCACTGCTCACATGATGCCTTGTGCCTCCACTGCTCACATGAGGTATTGTGCCTCCACTGCTCACATGATGTATTGTGCCTCCACTGCTCACATGATGCCTTGTGCCTCCACTGCTCACATGAGGTATTGTGCCTCCACTGCTCACATGAGGTATTGTGCCTCCACTGCTCACATGATGCCTTGTGCCTCCACTGCTCACATGAGGTATTGTGCCTCCACTGCTCACATGAAGTATTGTGCCTCCACTGCTCACATGATGCCTTGTGCCTCCACTGCTCACATGAGGTATTGTGCCTCCACTGCTCACATGATGTATTGTGCCTCCACTGCTCACATGATGCCTTGTGCCTCCACTGCTCACATGAGGTATTGTGCCTCCACTGCTCACATGATGTATTGTGCCTCCACTGCTCACATGATGTATTGTGACTCCACTGCTCACATGATGTATTGTGCCTCCACTGCTCACATGAAGTATTGTGCCTCCACTGCTCACATGATGCCTTGTGCCTCCACTGCTCACATGAGGTATTGTGCCTCCACTGCTCACATGATGTATTGTGCCTCCACTGCTCACATGATGTATTGTGCCTCCACTGCTCACATGATGTATTGTGACTCCACTGCTCACATGATGTATTGTGCCTCCACTGCTCACATGATGTATTGTGCCTCCACTGCTCACATGAGGTATTGTGCCTCCACTGCTCACATGATGTATTGTGACTCCACTGCTCACATGATGTATTGTGACTCCACTGCTCACATGATGTATTGTGCCTCCACTGCTCACATGATGTATTGTGCCTCCACTGCTCACATGATGTATTGTGACTCTACTGCTCAGATGATGTATTTAAATTTTATTTTTAATTTTGAGTTTATTGGGAGGCGTCGGAAAATCCGACACCACATAATATATCATACAGATAATAGCTGTATTGTATAAACAAGTTACCCATAGAAAACGTAACTTGTAGTGGAATTACCGTCTAAAGAAAACGGGATATCATCACCACATACCATTATAAATTCACCAGCTATTCTGCTGGGAATTATTCTTAAATACATTAGTCTTTGGACTTTACCATCATAAAAACATCTTATATAAATTAACTTAATTATCAATATTAAAGTAAAGTAAATGTGACCCTTCTATCACGTTCTGAAATCTGGACAATGTAAGCCAGGCGTCAGAGTGGAGGAAGGAGGGCAGCCATTGTTGTGTCACCTCCGAGACGTGTGGAGCAAATTCGGCTCCTATCATTCTGGACAATGTCGGCCAGTAACGTCAATAGTATGGAGTGTTAAACAGCCATTGTTTATACGAGACCAGAGGCACACGGGAGCAAATACGGCTCCTGTTAATTTTACTTGGACGTAGTGTTATGGAAACCAAAAGTACCATTGTCAACACGCTGTCTACAAATTCAAGTTAAGTGTCTATCCGAAACCCGTTTATCATTCATTTATGGCCATTAATGTCAGGATATAGGGTGACCCGGTTAGATCATGTGGAAGCCTCAAACTAAAGGTAATTAAGCCAGGTCTTTAATGTTCCATGTACTGTATAGTGTTTTCTCTGATATAGCTTGTCATATATAGGATTCTGGCTTCACAGCTAGCACACTTTTGACAGGTCAAGACGAGGATGCAAGATTTTGTGCACCAGTTACTGGGTGATATGGAAGCTACCTCAAAGAGGATAATTTGGTGTCTACACCCTAGTTATACCTGGTGGACTAACCTGCTGTACTATAAGATAAGGAACCTCTTCAATGTATGTAGTTAATTCTGTAGTTTGATTGGCTGCATATATATTAATTTAATAACCCCCCCTAATGTGTAGAGGATCGATTTGTGAGATTATGAGATTATTGCAGAAATACAGTCCACTTATCATTATACAAATTGCTATCGAAGTATATAAATTAACATAAATATAAATCTCACAGGTCGGTTCCCACAGGAGGCGTCACTCATCCTGTGAGTGGACACACCGCAATAGTGGCAGTATTGGGCAGCGCCACTCATCCTGTGAGTGGACACACCGCCATAGTGACAGTATTGGGCATCGCCACTCATCCTGTGAGTGGACACACCGCCATAGTGACAGTATTGGGCAGCGCCACTCATCCTGTGAGTGGACACACCGCCATAGTGACAGTATTGGGCAGCGCCACTCATCCTGTGAGTGGACACACCGCCATAGTGACAGTATTGGGCAGCGCCACTCATCCTGTGAGTGGACACACCGCAATAGTGACAGTATTGGGCAGCGCCACTCATCCTGTGAGTGGACACACCGCCATAGTGACAGTATTGGGCAGCGTCACTCATCCTGTGAGTGGACACACCGCAATAGTGACAGTATTGGGCAGCGCCACTCATCCTGTGAGTGGACACACCGCCATAGTGACAGTATTGGGCAGCGTCATTCATCCTGTGAGTGGACACACCGCCATAGTGACAGTATTGGGCAGCGTCACTCATCCTGTGAGTGGACACACCGCAATAGTGGCAGTATTGGGCAGCGCCACTCATCCTGTGAGTAGACACACCGCCATAGCAGCATGTACAACACTCCCCAATAGGAAGAAAACCCGCTGGGTTGTTCATCCTGTCACTTGTACCCAGAAACAGCTGGGACTTGCTTAACTTTCCCACGTGAACAGCTCCTCAAACAAGAAGATTAACATCTGTCAACCCTTTAAATCTTATGTTATCTTGCGGGTGCAAAATGGGGGAATCTTTTAAGAACAGTATTAATATTTGACAAATAATGTTTTCCTTACTCAATGTGGGGTTTATTATTCTACACATATGTTTATTATTTCTACACATATGCTCAGCTGTTGTTTCCATTCTGAATCTCCATGGATATTTGTATTCAAGACGGATTCTCGCTATTATTGATTTTCTCCTGCGGTCATCTCCTCTTCGTCCATAATGACTGGGATTGCCAGCAGCAACCATGTTGTACCATCGTACAGATTCACTGGATTGTGCTTCTGTCCTCCTTTCCTCAGTTACCTTGTCATGGTGATGTTGCCTGACAATACCTCTAATTTGTAGCAGAGTCTTGGGTATGAAGTATTCAATATGGTGTCTATCAGCAGCCAGTACATCTGCTCATTCATTTCCACATATTCGAACATAGTAGGGGGCTCCCCAACATGGGAGGGGGCTCCCCAACATGGGAGGGGCTCCCCAACATGGGAGGGGATCCACAGAAACTAGACGACTTTTCCCTGGTTGATTAGTACCCTCACAGCTCTCTTAATTTCAGCAACTATCGCAAGATTTTCGGCCCGATATTTACTTAGGCTTTGTAGTGCTGCTTTTAAGTCAGTGCAGAACACTGCGCCATTAGTATTTCGTTCATGGAATCTTAACGCCATAACAATGGCAGCTATTTCCGCTTGCGTTGAAGAGGCATTGTTCTCAATAAGTGCTTTCTCTTCATTTCTGCGTTGAAAGGCATTATTCCTAATTACAGTGAATGCTGCACCAGCCCTGCCATTGGCAAGATTAGATGACCCATCATTGTAAATTTGATCTAGTTCATCTCCGGCTTCTTTATAAATTTCCTCGAGATGCTTGTGCCTCATTTTTTGTAGTATCATGGTGGAGTTTTTCGTTGCCATTTCATTGATGATCCTGCATGAGTCATCCTCCCAGGGAGGTAACCTCTCTACAGGCAGGAGCTCACGGTCTTGTTCAAGCAGGTGAAGTTCTTCGAGGTAGCAGACTCATCTGTGATGCCATTTTTTGCTTCTCCTGTTTCCACCGGTAAGTAACACAGAACTCAGTGTTTTCTTCGCAATATTATTATAATAGGGATATCTGGCTATCCTAATTGCAAGCTTAGCATTCAGTTCCATAATTCTGCTTTTAACACTGGGGAGGGACAACTCCTCTCGTAGATTAGACGATTTGGCAGTTCTTAGAACTCAAAGAATGATTGTCATGGCTTCATTCCTGTAGTGGTCAACCTATTCAAGTTTTGCCACCATTCAAGTTCCACCATTAATTTGCAGTTCTTCATTCAGCTTGTGGTGGGAGTATGCCTTTGTCTTATTTGTTGAGAGAGTGAAACGAGCTCAATACATTTCCTTCCCAGGAGTTCAACGGGCTGTTTAATTTTTCCCAAGGTGAGAACTTGTATTATGACATCATCTCCATATCCCACTTGTGTTCCTTCCGGAAAATCAATATTTGCAATGGCGTTTATAAGTACATTGAATAGTGTGGGGCTTAAGATCTGCCTTGGGGGTCCCGAGTTCCATATTCATGGTTCTTGAGACTGCTCCATCGAAGCAGACCTTGGCCTTTCTCCCTGTGAGGTAGTCTTCAACCCATTTCATGAGTCTCCCCTTGACACTCATGCATGCAAGCTCGTCCAGGATCGCAATCCCCTGCGCTTTGTCGAAGGCTCCTTTGATGTCAACAAATACAGAGTACCTAGCCGTGTCATTAGTCATGTAATTAACTATACAGTTTGCTGTGCTCCGTCCTTTAACAAATCCATTGACCCACTCCCCTAACCTGCCTATTTTGTGCAATAGTCTGTTTAGGATGTTCCTTTCAAGCATCTTGCAAGTGCATGACACAGGACTGATAGGTCTGTAATTGCCAGGGTCATTGGGCTTCGGTATGGGAACAATTATTTGCGTGTTTTTACTGTGTGAGCAACACTCCACTTAGGAATGACTTGTTAAACAGGTGGAATAGTAGATTCCCAGACACTTCACACAGTGCACTGAGTATGTCGTAGGTGACGCCATCTTCACCAGGTGCTGTACTTTTACTCTTTTTCATAGCCCCCCTTACTTCCTGGGCTGTGATTGGTTCCCTATATTCGTCATCACTAGACTGTGCTTTTGTTATCCTAATTCTTCTGTCATTATATCCCACCTGCACATATCCCACCTGGACTATATACCCACCTGGACATGATGTATTGTGCCTCCACTGCTCACATAATGTGTTGTGCCTGCACTGCTCACATGAAGAAACACCTCTTATCTTCCTCTCTTTGTGACATAGGTAACAAGTTCCTATAAACAAGATGACGATAGTCCACAAATTTAAAACTAGATGAGTAGAACAGCAAAACTTTGTACGAAAAAAGGTGTTTACCACAAAAGATGAAATACATAAATCATTGGTAATGTATAGCCTAACCCACCTGGACATGGAAACCTAAATCTAGTGTGGAAAGTGACGGCAAATGACTAAACATATACTGTGGGCCTGGCAACTGAGTGGACAGCGCTCCGGATTCGTAGTCCTGAGGTTCCGGGTTCAATCCCCGGTGGAAGCGGAAACAAATGGGCCGAGTTTCTTTCACCCTGATGTACCTGTTCACCTAGCAGTAAATAGGTACCTGGAAGTTAGACAGCTGCTATGGGCTGCTTCCTAGGGGGTGTGTAATAAAAAGAAGGCCTGGTCGAGGACCGGAAACTCTAGCACGAATATGGACATGTTCGTAACGTTTCTGTAACAAAATTTGTTACATTCAAGAAACAATTTACAGTTTGACTACATCACTCGTTTATAACCTTTAATGCAAGAATTTTATTGACAAAAGTGAGGTATTAATGTTTACATGTTATACAGCTAATCCCAAGAAAATAATATTGATAAAAAAGACATTCATACGGATACTGTTAAATAATTAATTATTAATATCTAAGTCGGTAATATAATGCAAAAAGACTATAGCCTATTGCTTAATAACTTCTATGTAATGACTTACATTTGGACTCTGCAAGAATAAAATTTTATATCGTTAACTCGTCGCTAGTACCCCCACTAGCACCTGGAGCAGCCTGCACCACCACTTGTCTTGCTGACCAACACTTGGAGCAGCCTGCACCACCACTTGTCTTGCTGACCAACACTTGGAGCAGCCTGCACCACCACTTGTCTTGCTGACCAACACCTGGAGCAGCCTGCACCACCACTTGTCTTGCTGACCAACACCTGGAGCAGCCTGCACCACCACTTGTCTTGCTGACCAACACCTGGAGCAGCCTGCACCACCACTTGTCTTGCTGACCAACACCCGGAGCAGCCTGCACCACCACTTGTCTTGCTGACCAACACCTGGAGCAGCCTGCACCACCACTTGTCTTGCTGACCAACACTTGGAGCAGCCTGCACCACCACTTGTCTTGCTGACCAACACCTGGAGCAGCCTGCACCACCACTTGTCTTGCTGACCAACACCTGGAGCAGCCTGCACCACCACTTGTCTTGCTGACCAACACCTGGAGCAGCCTGCACCACCACTTGTCTTGCTGACCAACACTTGGAGCAGCCTACACCACCACTTGTCTTGCTGACCAACACCCGGAGCAGCCTGCACCACCACTTGTCTTGCTGACCAACACCTGGAGCAGCCTGCACCACCACTTGTCTTGCTGACCAACACTTGGAGCAGCCTACACCACCACTTGTCTTGCTGACCAACACTTGGAGCAGCCTGCACCACCACTTGTCTTGCTGACCAACACTTGGAGCAGCCTACACCACCACTTGTCTTGCTGACCAACACCTGGAGCAGCCTACACCACCACTTGTCTTGCTGACCAACACCCGGAGCAGCCTGCACCACCACTTGTCTTGCTGACCAACACTTGGAGCAGCCTACACCACCACTTGTCTTGCTGACCAACACTTGGAGCAGCCTACAGCATGTCTGTGCCTTCCCCATGGAGTGATCTCTCGCGCACTCCAATACTTTGAACACACACTAGGTTCCACTGACTGCTAATCAGTACAGAAGCAGGTCATGTAAAAATGGTTGACTTCACTTGCCAGAATGAGTTTCCTGTTAAGGTTCGTTGACTTCACTTGCCAGATTGTATTTCCAGTTGTGATTGGTTGACTTCACTTGCCAGATTGTATTTCCAGTTGTGATTGGTTGATTTCCCTTGCCAGATTGTGTTTCCTGTTGTGGTTGGTTGACTTCACTTGCCAGATTGTGTTTCCTGTTGTGGTTGGTTGACTTCACTTGCCAGATTGTGTTTCCTGTTGTGGTTGGTTGACTTCCCTTGCCAGATTGTGTTTCCTGTTGTGGTTGGTTGACTTCCCTTGCCAGATTGTGTTTCCTGTTGTGGTTGGTTGTCTTTCTGTTATACTTTCAGAACGTTAACTATAACTATGTAGTAGTCTGCATACTATGCATTATGGCTTGCATTATTGGTGGTTCCAAATACTTTTATTTTACTCTTTGTCTCTCAGCTAATTCCGTTTATTCATACGTGTTTTGGCTGCTGAACGAGGAGCGGAACTTGTGTAATGCTCCTCGGCCGTGGCTGGTCTTCGTGTACTAGAGTACGTGGTGAATTTTGTTCTCTAAATGTACTGATCTGTTCTCCTTGATGTAAGGCTGGAAGGTTTCCGCCACCTGATGATTGGTGGTGGTACTGTATATGGTGGTACTGTATATTAATATTGGGGAATTATAATATAACCGAACAATTGGGTTTAGTTTTATTATCTTACTGGGAATATTTTTTTTCTGTTCACATGATCAGTGTTTATTAGTGACATGAAGAACTTTGTGTAATTTACTGAAGTCTGTTGTGACGTGTGTAATTATGTGTAATTACCCTCTTATGATTTTGTGTTAATGTGTTTGATCAAGGGATACTTTCTTCCCGGTGGCAGATGGATACTACGAAAAAGACGGACGAGTCTGTCAATAAGACGGATGAGGCTGCCATTAAGACGGACGAGGCTGTCATGAAGAGGACGTTAGATGTCTTCCTGCCTGGCCTGAAACCCTCTCAGGTCGTTGCCAACTACGACGATTGGGCCGAATCCTACGAGCAGGTAACTGGCTACTTCCACTTTCTGTTAATAGTTACGTTAACTTACAATTTGTTGAGGAAAATTCTTCTACACAATATGCTTCACCAAAATGAGTCTGTGGCCGCCTGAAACAGTGTCAGAAATGGTTCACTGATTATTGAGTATCGTTGAGCGGCTGGAAAGTCAATTGGCTGGAAGTCAATATTTCCAGTTTATTGTTTTTTTTAACACACGATAAGACCCCCTCTTGACTTCTGTTATCAGACTTAGAGACTAGCCTTTTAAAAGGCTGTTAAAGGCTTATTTCCCCTTGCCAGAGCTCGTGATAAACCTTACCGTAACGCGGCTAATGGTTGTTGTTACTTGGTGAATGTGAGTAAGACAAACACTTATAAGATGTGGGGAAGACAGGAAGATAATTATATATTAAGGAACGGGAATGTGGAAAGAATATGAGGAAAAGAATGAATGAGCATAAATAACATAACTACAAATGAAGTTATAACTGACACACATAAGATAACTATAAAATACTCAACACAAATATCGTTTTAATAAACGTCTAAGTGCCCGGGTCACTGATATTGAAACTCAGTCTTATTTTATCTCCTTAAATACAAGAGTCCAGTGAAGGTCAATCCTGTATTAACCTGATTTACCTGAGGGACACTAACCCTAGTGGCCTCGGGGAGGACAGGAAGCCGGCGGGTTGTCGAAGTGGTTTTCCTCCCCTCCCATTTGCCTTGATCTTTTCCCGATATATTTTGAAATTCAGCGCAGTTTTAGCAGTTACAGCTTCGGCAGGTAGGCGGTTCCACGGGTTAATAACCCATGGAATAGGCATATAATTTAGTATTATAGATTGCTACATGCATATATACAGGCGCCAGAAGTCACGACACGACAACACTCACTAACCACTGAACCAAAGTAACATTTGAGCTAAACACTCCATAAATTCACATTGTGGAAGGTCAGGAAAGGTATTTATCAGGAGAAAGAGGAAAGCCAGCCCCTCACACCCTCCCCTTGGAGGGGATGAGAGGGGTGTGAGGGGGGGGGGGAGGGAGGTGAGGAAGGTGGAGGAGTGTGGTGAGAGGTGTAAGAGGAGTGGTGGGCAGGTAGGGAGGACCTGTTGACACACACACACACACACACACAGCACAGGAATACACAGTGAGGAGGAATTATTGTGTATGACAAGGTGTCTGGACCTGGCCCGGCCCCATGACTAATGCTCAATGGTTCAAGAGGCGCCATTAGATGGGATGGTGTTTTATTTCTCCTCCTTCACATTCTTCCTTATTCTCCTATTCTTCACATTCTCCTACTCCTTCACTTTTTTTGTATTGGTCCTTGATACTCGGGGAGTGGGGGGGGGGGGCGTTCCTTGAGACTCACCAGGACCCTGAAGCTTGGGGGGGGGTGTTCCTTGGGCCTCACCAGGACCCTGAAGCTTGGGGGGGGGGGTGTTCCTTGAGACTCACCAGGACCCTGAAGCTTGGGGGGATGGGGGGGGGGTGTTCCTTGAGATTCACCTGGACCCTGAAGCTTGGGGGGGGGGTGTTCCTTGGGCCTCACCAGGACCCTGAAGCTTGGGGGGGGGGGGTGTTCCTTGGGCCTCACCAGGACCCTGAAGCTTGGGGGGGGGTCCTTGGGACTCACTAGGACCCTGAAGCTTGGGGGGGGGTGTTCCTTGGGACTCACCAGGACCCTGAAGCTTGGGGGGGGGGGTGCTCCTTTGGACTCACCAGGACCCTGAAGCTTGGGGGGGGGTGTTCCTTTGGACTCACCAGGACCCTGAAGCTTGGGGGGGTGTTCCTTGGGACTCACCAGGACCCTGAAGCTTGGGGGGGGTCCTTGGGACTCACTAGGACCCTGAAGCTTCGGGGGGGAGGGATAGTGACCTTCAAGTTATTAATTCCCTGATGGCCAGGTCTAGACGCTGTTGTTGTCTCACCAAGACACCAGTTAAGAGGACATGTCCCAAAATCTGTGCATCGTTTCAAGGATTTGTCATAATATGGTTTATATCGAGTTAGTTATCGTTTATTGTATAATTTTCACATATTGCAGGAATAAACATTTGTGGCGTTCGAAGCTCTACCTTCACCAAATTTTGGGTTCCGTGCTCGTATTCATATATGTTCAGATTATTAGCTTAGACATTGGCAACAACATTCAAGCCATAATGAGGGGTGAGGACGAGCCCCAGAAGTGTACCACGTTGTTCAGGGCAGGAAGGAGGGAGTCATCCCTCTGTCCTTATCTCTGGGGGACTTGACCTTTGTCCCACCAGGTGGTGTCTGGCGTTGTTGTCTCTGTGTTCAATACCGCTCCAGTGTCGGGCGGCTCCCTTCCTCTCCCACTCTACATCTCCAGTAACTGATTACTGATAACTTCCCGCTTATCTTCCCGGTAGTCAGGACTACCACACAATACACTCCTGGGACTCGTCCCTGAGGCCAGAACTACCACGTGGTACACTCCTCGGGCTCGTCCCTGAGGCCAGAACTACCACGTGGTACACTCCACGGGCTCGTCCCTGAGGCCAGAACTACCACGTGGTACACTCCTCGGGCTCGTCCCTGAGGCCAGAACTACCATATTCCTGGCATGTTAGGCCCTTCTAACCACTCCTCGAGCCCAGTAGGAAAACGCTATGGATTAACCAAAAGCTTGTTCCACTGGTAGGTTAGGGTAGGGAGGCTAGTTCTGCTGCATACCTAGTTCCTTGACTATGCTGGCTGGGTCTTCTGTCTCAGACCTGATCAGACCAGGTGGTCCTTGAGAGATTTATTTCTCTTCCATGCGATCATAGGAGGATCTCTAGGGAAGTTCAGTCAGGATGGATGTTCCTCGTATGTCTTCTTCGTCCAGGACCATAATCTGGTCATTTTCTGCTTCAGATGTGTTGCTAAGCCTGGTAAAACAACAGCAGGAGGATCCATCTCTGATCGTCTAGTTTTGAGTCGGGGGTTCGAGGAGTTGAGCTCGGGTTTGTGTTGTCTGCTTAGTCTGGGCTTTGCGTAGTGTCTTGTCTGGATAGCACCTATCCCTGAACATCTCCCAGAGATCCTGTAGCTCGGGCTGCAATTTTTCATCCATGCTGTTTATTCTCTTTAGGCGGAGGTCTAGAGAGTATGGCTAGGAAGTGATCAGAGCTGCTGGGTGGCTTGAGTCGAAATTCAAATAGGTATGGAGATTTGTGGGTTTGTAGTTCGCCTTTATTTGGAGGCGCCTACTCGTGTTGTTAATGAACACTGTTGTATCCAGGAAATTTATTATTGAACTGTTATGTTCTAATTTAAATTTCAAGTTTCGTGGGCGATCAAGTAAGTGTGTAGATGTTGCTCACCAGTGGTCATGATGCCAAAAATGTCGTCAGTCTGTAATATATTAGCAGTACATCGGTCCTCTGGGATCTTGCTTTTCAAAGGCCACGTGCTTAAATATCTCGGCGATCGCCACGCTGCTGGAAGTCTTTATTTCTGTGCCTTTTATCTGTCAGTAGGATCGTCCATTGAACTATAGGAGGGTGTCTCTCCTCACATGGAGGATTTCGGTCCCGAAGGGAGCCTGACTTTTCTCAATGGATGTAGTATCGTTCTACCCGAGTATACCACAGAGAGGGGGAGCCAAGGCAGTAGCAACTCTCTTTGACAAGAATAGGCACAGAATCACACTGGACCTACGGGAAGCAGGAAGCAGGGGCGTTTTTGAGATCGCCCTAAAACAAACACTAGAAGAGGCAATATTGTATGTCATGAGAGACACCCCTCCTGCAATTCATCAGCGATGCATACAGACAAATGAAGGGGACAGCTATAGGAGCTTTAAGTAGCGTAGGTATTGCTGGCATCTTTATGCATGTGATCTTTGAGAGGGAGAGATTCCACAGGGAAGACGCACCGGCAGTATACTACAGATATATAGACAACATATTTGGAATTATGGTAGGTGGGTTCCCACGACTCGAAAGTTTCTTTCGCCTGGGCAAACACAGCCCCTCGAGTGGAGGATAAAAGGTGGATCCTGCCGACCTTATTTTTTCCTGGTCTCGCGGGGGATTCTGAAGCGAAAGCTCACATACGTGTGGACCTGGATGAGACAGATCACTCCTCCAGGGTGAACTTCCCGCAGGACCCTCCGATGATTGCATGGAGGCGAGGGAAATCAATCAAGGACCACCTCATCCGAGCAGATCTGCAACCTAGCGCCACATCCTAACAAGGTAGGAATTCGCTGGCACTGCAGAAAAACGTCCAAACCTACCGATGTGGACCTAACCTGATACAGAAGCCCGCACTGTATGCTTGGAGAGTGTCAGAACTTGTGGAGCAGTTAGGAGGGTAGCACATTTGAAAAGTCAGAACTAACACACAACACACTCCTGGGGCTCGTCCCTGTAGCCAGAACTATCACACAGTACACTCCAAAAGGAGGCTGATGATGGGTGTATTCAGGGCACAAGTGGAGATGATGAGCTGATGAGGGGTGTATTGAGAGCCCAAAAGGAACTGATGAAGGGTGTATTGAGGGCCCAAGAGGGAGCTGATTAGGGGGTGTATTGAGGGGCCCAAGGGAAACTGATGATGATGGGTGTATTGAGGGCCCAAGGAGGCGCTGATGAGGGGTGTATTAAGGTCCCAGGTGGAGCTGATGATGATGGGTGTATTGAGGGCCCAAGGGGAGCTGATTAGGGGTGTATTGAGGGTCCAGGGGGAGCTGATGAGGGGTGTATTGAGGGCCCAAGTGGAGCTGATGACGGGTGTATTGAGGGCCAAAGGGGAGCTTGGGCCCTCGAGCGACGGAGAGAGGGAGAGAGGAAGAGGAAATGGATTGTGTGTGTGTGTGTGTGTGTGTGTGTGTGTGTGTGTGTGTGTGTGTGTGTGTGTGTGTGTGTGTGTGTGTGTGTGTGTGTGTGTGTGTGTGTGTGTGTGTATGTGTGTGTGTGTGTGTGTGTATGTGTATGTGTATGTGTTTGTGTGTGTGTGTGTGTGTGTGTGTGTGTGTGTGTG